CCAGAAGACGAGCCCTGAATCAACCCAAGGCACTCCAAAGCCACGCAGCGCTTATCCCTGAATCGCGAGCGCATCAACGAAACAGACATCGCAGTCGTCGCGGGCTCTCGATCACGGGACTCGTTAATTTCCAGACCTTTACTTCAGAAGCCTTCATAACGGGCGCGGGATCGAGTTCCCGACCGACGAAAATCCCGAGGACAGCCGGTTGATCCTTTGCGTACACGAGAACTTACGAGCTGGCAAGTGCACGCGCGGCTGCCAACAACGGTTCGACGCTAAACCCGCGAAACTGGAATGCTGGAGCGAGAGGAGCACCGTTGCAAAAAGATTAGCGAGACAGAGAGACGGAAAAGCAAGGTGAACACGGTATGGGTGCGCGTATGGGCGTGTTTACGGGTGTGTGTGTGTGTGAGAGAGAGAGCTAGGGTCCACATACTAGATGCAAATCGGCCTACGGAAGAGATACGCACCGGACGACCGCAGTGCAGCGCAGCAACGCGTGGATCGGAATGCAGCCAGCCGTTGCAATGGCAAAGGTAATAATTGATATATAGCGATGGCATTGGCCGCTGACAGCCGCTAACCCGGCCGAATACGGATGACACTCGGTAATCCTCACTCTCATACCGGTTAGTGTCCACCTATATTCCGTGGCGTCCCATTTCCCATTCCCATGGCGTGTAAGCTCAGCCTCTCTTTCTCTCTCTCTCTCTCTCTCTCTCTCTCTCTCTCTCTCTCTCTCTCTCGTTTTCCCTCCTCTGTACATTACATATACGTGGCTCCCCTCGCTCTACCTGCATCCACCCCCTCGTCCAGGTCTACCAACACGGATCAACGACGTGTGTCCGTCGCGGAGGGTAGTGGTGGAAGGTAGAGCGACGCAGAGCCAACAGAGCCGGACGGGAACACAGGGAATGCAACCCCACCGTGCGGGGGTGGGACATGGGCCGAGGGAGGCATGCTTGCAGCCAGAGGCTGCACCACGGAGTCCTCGTGCAACGACGCCACCGCGCGGTATGCGATGCAACCATACTAATCCGCCGATGGATTTATGGTCTTAATCACCGGCGGATTATCTCGGACAGCCGCGCTCTGCTGCCACCGACCGAAACATACGCCTGCCTCTTTGCAGATAACTGTACCTAGCTTCCCATCCCGCTTGCTCACCACGCTCCAACGGTCCTCCTCTTGCTTTCGACGTCTCCCTCCGGCCCTCTCGACGGCCGGCTGTCTCGTTCTCTTCCTCCTCGTTCCTCGGAGCCCGGCCTATGATGTCTGGACCTCTTATCCGACGAGACGCACTCGAGTCACAGGATGAATCGGTTGGTTGCTCGACGAGCCGAACAGGAGTTGAGATTTTGGGATGATCCACCCTGATCGGGGGGTTCTTTTAGGAGAAGTTGGGGGTACTTTTGGGAAAATGTTTGTTAGAGGATGTAGTATGTTTAGTAGTGTCGAGTGGTGCGACTTGGCTTAGAAATTGGGTGCAAATTCAAGAATTTGGGTGCAATATTCTTGACAATTTTTCCTAGGATTTAATAGTATTTAGACTATTGGAGACTACGTAATCAAACATCTATCGAGATATTTATTTTTATAAATTCATACAAATTCATGAGTTTCGTTTAAATTCGTTTCCTTGGATGCTTGACTTTCAGAATTAATTTTTTTAGTTAATCAGTGAAAAGTACCGTTATCCATATATGGATGAACGTTTGTGAGGATGTTGAATATTCCTATTTACTCCACCATCGATGAAAGATTCTAAGCTTCCATATAGTACCACATCGCATCTCACAAATCTTCTCATCTTTCTATTTCCTACAAGCTAATGAACGAATGAAAGGACGATCATATAAATTTTCAGAGAGAGCTAGACACCCACGGAGCAGATAGAGGCTTCGATCAGGAAACAAAAGCCAGTGCCGAAGTTTTCCGAATGGCACGACCGCAGACTGGCCGGATTCCCATTCGGATTTTATCCGAAACGGCGGTAAATCCGCGGACAAAATAGATAAGCTTCGTCCGCGGTTATCGGCGAGCATTAAATGTTGCATCGGGATTAATTAAGCGTAATGCAACGACTAGAACTGACTAAATGCCCCGCAATCGCGCGCGCCCGTAAATTTCGGTATCTGGAAGTTCGCGTGTTGTGCAGAAATTTCCATCGAAGAATGACACGACCGAACGATATGGTTCAACGAATCGTACAACCACCGTGGATCGCCCTGGGGATGATTATGGTAAGCGATTAGGAGGTAAAGCGACGGGAACAGGTGCTGTGTTCTACTACTCGCAATGTGAAAAATTTTTCGGTGATTTCGACGAAATTGATGTGTTTTCCATAATGCTTCCATATCCTACTTTTGAGTGGACCGGATATTGAAGGATTAAAAATTATTCATAGCATTCTCAAAGACTGTAATATAAGAATTTCATGTAAATAAATTAAAATTATCGCAACTATTGTATGCTGTATAATCCATTTATGATTTGAAGGAATAATGGATGTGGTGAACATATGTGAATGCAAGATTATTTTATTAACCTGACACCCCCTGAAGTTTTTCATTATTACGCTAAAGCAAAAGAAGATCGATAATGTAATAGAGAAAAACGAGGTGAATGGAGGCAAAAGTGAGCTATCGCGTAACAAATAACCAACACATCGAGTGGAGAATCATTATTACAAATGCAACAATACGATTATCAGGAATAGGATTCAGACAAGTGAACAGTCTTCCAAGTTCTGCGCGGAAACTCCTCCCGCTCGGAGGCCTTAAAATAACATAAAAAATTCGTGAACGCGTCCATGGTTCCGCGATAGTTGGGATCTCCAGCATTTTGGTACATGGCGTATAGCACCGTGGCGGGAACACTGTGCCATGCTCTGTGTGGTTCTATAAATCCAGGAGGGCTTACCGGCGCAAAGCTTCCCTTGTGAGCTGCGCAACCCCACGTGACCTCATGCCTGCCCACTTCCATTCTCGTTTCTCTTCCACCCCGATCCCAACGTTTCGTCCGAGCTCTCGTGATATGACCGTTCCTAAAGGTCTTGCTGAAACGCACGAAACCGCAAGGCTTGTCAAGTCGAGAAGCATGTCCTGCCGCTTGATCCAGCTCAAGCTACGGACTAAAGCCTTGAATTCGCCTTGTTTGCTCGCTTATTCGAACAAACGCCACGAATTTATTCGCCGTTTGCAACAATAGTGTAATATTCGCTCTCGAAGGGGAACCCGATAAAAAATTCCCAATGCGACTAGGAACGAAAAATCTTGCGCGAGCAAATTTATTTTTGCTGATTCTATAAAACCCAGATCTCGCTGAAACTACATTCATCCGAGTGTATTTTCCTATAATCTTAATTACTTTTCTTTAATGTATATAAAACTATATTAAAACCAAGAATTGGAAATTTTTCCAACGAATAATGTTAGGCTATCTCAACGATCGTTTCTGTGTAGTTGATAATGAAGTTTACTGGGATATCAGATAGCAATGATAATAATAATGATAACTGGTGAAGTTGAAGACATTTTGTTTACATCGTTTGCAAGAAGGACAAGTGAAATTGTTCAAATAAAGTGCTGATAGTTAATGATAGTGAAGTATTTTTAATAACAATTATCTGAAAATTATTGGTAGCGATAAGTGAAGGAATGCCATTTTCAGGAGATGAGCAATGTTCGCAGACACGGGTCGTCGAGGTATCGAGCATGAATTGTTGCCTTTGTAATCGATACTTCAAGGCATCAATGCGCCCATTGTAGGTTTCTGTTGCTACTTCGATCAACTCGAATCGAAAGCTACTCAGATTCGAGCTCGAACAGGGCAGCACGTTACAGAACGTACAGCGTGTACGTGATAAATGCAATCAATTTTTACGCTAAACCAACCATCGACACTTTGGTTATTTATAGTTTGACAAAAGTATCTTATTTTTAACTTTCATCGAACTATATATTACTTTCAATTAATTCAACGTATAATTCTGTTCAATTAATTTCAATAAAGGACAGGCTTTCCTGAAAGGAGCTTCGAGATATCATTTTTTAATAATATAACACACCTGTCAGCATAGTCTCAAACTATTATTTTTATGTAGTAATTTAAAATTTTCGTCCACCGTTTGGTAATCTCTTTAGGAGTTTGTATTAATTGTTTATCATTTGTTACTAATGTTTCCTAATCTCCAATAAATGTAGGCTTCTGAGGAGGTGATGAGTTTTTAACGAGTTATACAGCTTTGGAAATACATGTGCGATATTCAGCGAGTGCTTCGCGACGGGAAACGATGAGTCGCGATCAGAGCAGATAGAAGCGTTTCCGTTGGGACGAAATTGTTTGTCCGAAATCAGAAGTGTGATCGATGGAGGCTCGATCGACCGATAACCCGTCAAGAACGCGATAGCGGTGTCTTTTTTCGACGAAAAAAAATGTAACGACTGATGTCGAGAATCGATTCATTTTGCACCTTTCGATTGCGAGCAATTAGTCACGAGTTGGTAAATTAACCCCACGTGATTCTGAAGTTATTTTTCTTATCACTCTCATAGTACCCTACGTGAAAGACCATGAATACCATTTGGTCAAAACGTTAATTAATATTTACTAAATGTAATGCTTGGACTGACATTGCGTTTAGATTATTAATTACAAATCTAGACTGCGGATTCTTATGCAAAATAAAATCTGTGTAAACGTACCTAGAAAAATTGAACTTACTCCGCAATTATTTTAATATGAACTTTACTTTTAATATTTGTTTATACTATCGCATACTGTGTGCATTTTCCAGTTTCTTACGCATTGAAATTTCCCATAAATGCATAAGAATCCGTAGTCTAATAATTAAGGAACGATAATGCTTGGATTGATATAAAATTAAGTAATTATGATCCCATACCAGAAAGCAATTCATTGTTGTTTTAAAATTGGTTAGTTTGGGTGCCAAAGAGAAGGCGAAGATATGCAATCGTTGAAATATTCTCACTCACCCTGACTCGAGGTTCTGGAAGATTCGTCCACAGCCCTATCTCTTCCCTGGTCGACATGTCCGGATACCGATTTCTCGTGAACAAAGCCTCCAGCTCCTGAAGCTGTTGCGACGTGAAATGTGTCCTCTGCCGCCTCTGGCGTTTGTTCTTCTTCCCGTCCTTATCGTCCGCGTCGTTTACCCCGACCACACCAGCGGGCGAAACCACCCCTCCGCCGGCTCCCAATTCGTGTTTCACTTCTGTCGGTGTCCGAACACCTGAAACGTGTTAAGATATCACGTTCTTCACGAAAAGAAACACCGACACTTATCCTACGAAAACACACTCCGGCGCAGATAATAATTCAAACGACGGGCCACACGCACCTCCATCTAGATAACAATTATTTCACGCTTCGTCGTTGCTTTGGAAAATTATTTATCAGAAAATCGATTCGGAGAACAATAACAATGGTTCGTCTCTTGCAAGCGTATTTGCTTTAGAAAGCAATACTTTAACTCCTGTTTTCAAATGTAAATAATTCTTGCAATTAATCTTCAATTTTAATAATCGTCGCGTAATTGTAACGGTCTGAGCAATCTCGTGATCGAAACGTCGTGAATGAAGAATTAAATTAATTTTATGTTCGATAAAATGAAATGGTACGCTTCTCTATCAATTTTATAGTATTTAGTACATTCATAAGTATATCGAAGAAGAAAAGCTCTCTTTAAAATTACAGAAACTATGCATTATATTTCAAGAGACACCAGTGCAGTTCGCGTCGATTTTATCCGCGCAGTGCAAACATAAATTGCTCAGCGATTATTTGCCCTGTTACGGTTACGTCGGATAGTGTCTGATAAAATTTCATACGGGAACTCTGAGGTCGCAACTGACTTCATTAAGGCATGCCAGAGTTAATTTCGCACGAAACCTCAGCGTAATATCCGAAACTACTGCATTGGCTCACCTTGGAGCTTTAGAATCTCGTTAAATATTATTTATATTCATTCTTGGTCGCGATAAAAATTAGCTTAGAACGATAAAGAAAATATTTTATCGCTAATAAAATTGACCGCATTCCTCTTCCTATCGGTCCCTTTCATCGTGATTTGAATCTTTGCTCGTCGCTGAATGACGAAATGAATTGTAGAGATTTCGTTTATAATTATCGAGCGATTTAAGTAGCCTTTGATGTATTTTTCTTTGAGTACATTGCATTGTTGGTATGTTATGATTTGTTTACATTCCGACTTTGCTTTGAAACAATTTTCAGAACCTGTGTATTATATAAATGTATGTTCAACCTATCGTATAATTTATTAAATTATCACGTAAAATTAATTTAATAGGACTACAAAGATGCAATGTATATAGATTATAAGAAAATATAAAGGTATAAAGGCACTCTGTGATATATATATATAAATTAAAAACTCTCGCTTATTTTCAATTACAGTTTAACCCTCGAAAGGTGCCATTTAGTCCACTCGTCTATTTATTTATTAAACACAATTGTAACATTTATAGATTCTGAAGAGGATTCTAAACAAAAAAGTGTCTAAGTAAATATGTTGGTGAAGACTGAAAAATTGCCACATTTTAATTCCTATAGTTTAATTCTCACTTAAGCCACCCCATTTGGTATCGTCTCTAATATGCAGGATCGTTTGATCGGTGTAATCGCTGCTACATCCAGCCTGTAGCCTGCCATTTGAGAGTAACATAAATGCGTTTGTCACCAGTGTGACAGTGACAGGTGAGAACGCGTCCACCCCTGACTCCGTGGGCAGCAAACCGCTAGCTTTCCTTACTCGCATTGACAGCCACATGATCGATCGCCTCCTTTTTCAAAGAATACCGCTATCACTGCGTCTGATGATGCCGCTAACTATCTTCCAGGTCGAAACGACCCTGCCTATTTACAGAGGTACCTAATCGACATAAGGTCGCGCTGATAGCAGCAGCGTTTGCCCCGAAGATCGTTCGATTCCTCTCTATCGCTATACTTCAATTTACTCAGTAATAGCCCGATCTACAGCCTTGGAATATCACGCTTTGGATTCTACAATATTAATAAAACCAGATAGTCAACCCTCACCCCTCTCTGTTAAAGGCAAGCCGTGGGATGTTACGGAGTAGCGATCATTAATTATTTCAGGCCACTGATTATCTCAGTCTGAACCTCCTCGGTAATTAACGCGGTAATACTCTTTCTAATTCTTTGTTTTGGATGATCGTTCACTAAACTTTCGTGTATGTATTACTCGTGTGATGTGTAATATACTAACAGATAGGAAATTTCCTAATCAGCGTTGGATTTAATAGGCAAACATTTATTAACCTTTGATCTTTGTAAAGGTTTTCTGAAAAACAAATATTAAAAATTCTGAAGATATTAAATATATAGTTGTGTTTAATATACGTCTACAGTATTAGACACCTTAAAAGTAAGACTGTTTCTACTTTCACTCCCTCATCACTAACAACCCTCTGTGTTATTCTCCACTAAAGATTTGATTTACAACAAAGGAAACAATGAATTCAATTCCAATGAAACAACTTACTTCACATCACGTTTGTTGTCAGGTATTTTTGAAAGGCGATAGAATGTCCAAGCCAGCTAGTGAATAAATCCCAGAATTATAGAACGAACAGAGAAGCGATTCTATCATTCATCCCGAAGAGGAGTCCAAGGAAGTTGACCAAACGAGGAGTTTTGAATTCAGGCACACTTGGAAGCTTTAGTGGCAACAAGAGGAACGTGCTGGACTCGCGTAAGGAGCACGAGAGGCCTCGCCCTCGTCTCGGGATTACAACGAGTGAAGTGAGATCCGTCCCCGGGGTTTTGTTGTTAACCAGGACCGTAAGACTCCGAGAGATATTTCAATTTGCGGGGATTTGGGGCGGATGCGAGAGCGTCGGCTAAGTGCCGAACAAACGTGCAAACAAACGACGGCAGCATTTTCCTCGCCTTTCTCGTGGTGCACCCGACGACACTCTCTATTATCATTTGATTTCATAGTCCGTGAGAACGGGAGACGATCATGCCTGGCTGGAATTTCCTACACGATTGGTGCACGAATATCTCTTCAGGAAAATTATATTAGGCTTTACATTATAGACTCGTACCTGCGATTCCTTCGTCATTTTCTCCAAGTCGATTGCAAAGGATTTTCCAAGAGGGGCGTTAGCGTTTTGATTTTTCAAAACGAGATCTTAGAGTCATTTTTGAGAAACCATAGACGTCAGACGTTATTATTGTTAATCTTGATCATTTTTTTTTTGTTTGTTTGATGTTTCCAAGTGGATGTAAATATGTTGGTGAATATATAAATATATACACGTACAAGCTTATTTATATACATAATTATAATGAAAAATTCGTTTGGTAATATCAAAACTATTACTTAATTTAGTCAAACTTCTTCAATAGGCATAGAGGATACGAATATTTATGGAATTGAGTGTATATCCTACATAATCACTAATAAAATTACTTAGAAGTACGATAACCATTGCAAAGGGTTAATATTGTAAATGAAAAGGATACAAGAATAGACTATCAAAATTTATAATTTCATCAAATTTCTTCATCGTCTCGTGCATCTATACTAAGGTTGAGTTCGAACTTTGAGTTTCCCCCTTATCACTGATAATTTAATTTAGAGGCGCAGGAGGATTGGGGTCCGAGACAAGATGTTTAGAAATCGTGGAGGCATACCTTTTCGGATGTCTGGCCTGTGCGTGGTGTTCGTGCGGGACCTGGGCTGCGCCGTAGAGAATCCACCAGAGGGTGTCGTGGGTGTCGCACCTGGTGTACTGGGGTTGCTTCCACCGGGGGTGTGTGCTCCGTGACCCGTCGAATCGAGCCTCGCCAAGCCCCCGTTCGTCTCGTCTCTGAAGTCGCCCTGCGCCCATACTGCAAAACGCATCACACCCTCTTGCAACGTCGTCTAAGCTCTCCGTAATCTCCACTATTTACTAACTTATTTCGTTATTAAGCCGGGATTTCGCGACGGCCACTTTCGCCGCGTCGAAACGACGATGTAAACAGTCTTCCTACACGAAACTGGAGCCTAATAGCGCGGATGTCTGAGACTCGTTAATTCGGCCGCTTAATTCTCGATCGTTAAACGTGACGCTTCGTATGAAGCTTCATGGCAACATTCACTTATGGCATCTGCGGCCAGAATTGAAATTAACAGCGAGCTACGGTATTTTCGCGTCTACTTTGTTCCCTCGTTACTGGATTACGTGTAATTTGGAACGATTAAAGCAGAGTTACATTTATTACGTGATAAGTTAACAGTGTTTTTTCTTGTGAAAATGATATGAGAATATTTTGTTGAATTTCTTTTTGTTTGAATCTTCTACGTTCATATGACGTTTATATTTTCGTTGTTGGAGAAATGGTTGTAACAATTATCGAGGATACTTTTAGCACAAAAAATGTGTCGACTCTTCTATCAACAGTCCCTATGAAGCGATTCGTGTGAAATATTGAAAAATTATTATGTTTCTTGGTGGCTGGCGTTTGTCACGATGATTTGTTGGAAACATTCACTCGAGGGACGACGATTTTGTCAACTATCGTGTCGTGTTCGAATAATAGTGGATACGAAGTCCCAGAGATCTTAACCGACGAGGACTGTGTGTAGGCAGAGAAAGTTTACGCGTCCTGGGAGTTTCGTCTATTTTCTCTTTTAATCGGGAGTTCCCCGATTCACTCGTGGGGTGAAGCTGTCTGGATTTATTCCAACGATTTTAAATATCACGTGGTTACATGCGTACATTTCGCAAAATCATCTCTTAAACCGCGGTCCTCGCGAATGTAAATGATTGGTGAGACGAAGGGGATGTTTTCGTCTAAATTATACAAATGAAGTTACCAAATGATTAGAATTACGAGAAATGTATACACACGTTGGTTAAAGTTTGCAATCGTTTATTTGATTAATTTCATTCGTTTAATTCACTTGATTCACTTGATGTATTTAATTATTTTTGTTTTATGCATTCCGTTGAAGTGATTTGTCTCATTGTATCTTATTGTATTTCGTTCCATGGATGTGGTTTATTTTATCGTATCTCATTCTATCTCACTTTATGCTTTATGCATTCTATCTCAAAAATGCCCAAATATAAATTCTTTTCCCTCGCCATGTTCTCTTCCGGAGAATAAAAATTTTCCTATTTCTACATACGCGTTCAATCGATTTGCTCTTGTTAATTCCCGAAGAACACCTCGAAAATGATCGTCCAGACAAGAATACCTCCGGTTGAGGAGAAGTAACGTACATGTTGGGTCGTAACACACTTGGCAGTATCCTGGAAGAGTGACACGCGCGTCTCCGTCGTACGTAGTCGACACCGTGGCACTAAATCAGCCCCGAGTTACGCGCCGACTAATTGTGAACCACGTCCCTCCTCTTTGCCGCCCCCGTAGAAACCAAATATAACTAAACGGAGCGAAACTAAACGGCCAGGCCGATTAACGTCTCTGTTGGTTGTCTACCACCGACAGCACACGCACACGTACCCTATTCTCGAACACACATTCGAGTCCAAGAATGCTTCCTATCTCTCCTTTTCTCTTGTGTTTTTTCTTCTTCCTTTTTTTTTGCTACGGTAAAATACTGATCGTGGATAAATAATGGTTCTGTAGGAGAAAGAAAGAGAGAACAAGCAGTGTGAAACACGGCTTCGTTGTTAGTCGATGACGAAAATTAGTTTACGGCGAAATAATTCTGTTTTTTCGGGGGTGGAGCAGTGACGTATATCGCGTTGTTTGCCGTTTAACACGTGTCGTTGAGATATAAGAGTGTGCGATCAAGGGTAAATTGATGTCGACGTAGTATGTACATTTTATTAGTGCATGAATTGCTTTAGTCTCTTTTGCCCACCTCTGTTCATAAGTAACGCCATCGAAAGTATACTTGAAATCGACCAATAAACTCAATTTCCTATTCAATCATGACTGAAAAATACCAAAAAGCTGTCTCTTGAAAATGATGTTGTCAACACAAAGATTGAGTAGTATTCCTCGAATGGAGTAGCTCTGCAACGCGCTATCTTTCGAATAATTTCAATCGCCATTGGTTATGGTGATTCATAGTCGATAATCTGAAGGAAGTCGAACGCTAGTTTCCCGATAGCACCTGCATTTTTCGCAATTGTTGTTACACAATCGCGAAGCATCGCTTCCAATCGCGACAAATTCTCGTTGCACCGACGTTAGACGATATTCGTTTGCGTTGAGCCAACGAATCTGATATCGCTCATCGTTTTCGAATACTTTCGAGTCCAGAGAGTAAGTAGGGGTTGGCAAAAGTATTCGTCTAGTAAATTCATAAAAATGAAGTCTCGTTTCCATTTGAACGACCCTGGTAATTCCAGGCGGACCGATTTCCCCGATAATGCTGGCCTTAAATAAACCGGACGGAATAGTTTCTTAATCTACGATGTGCAAACAGATCGGTTACCTATTTGGGCGGCTGACCAGAGAACACGTGTAAAGAGCTAGGAATGGCCATACGAGGATAAGCTGGCACCCTGAGGAGGGTGGCCAAGCGGTTTGTTTGTCAGGGCAGTCCCCGAGGAAAAGCGAGTGATGTCGCGTTATCAGCGATGCCTCCTCGACGACAAACATCCGAGCACGGAACCATGGACTCCGTGCAATTTATCACGATCCACGTAACATTACAACGTGATCGACGTAACTCTCGAGAAAGCGTATCTCGAGATATTAGCGTCTGACAATGAGATACAGTAGCTACTGTAGACGTATCAAACACGTGGCCCCTATTATATCCTCGGGATAGTAATATTTGAATACTCTGGTTTGCGTAGAATACTAATATTCTAATCATTCAGTTTCTTCGAAGCACTATTTTACTAATCCTGCTCCATCCAAAGTGAAGGAAATATAAAATTTCAAAAGTAAATATAAATAGTATTGCGTGACACTGTCACTCGAATAATTTTGCTAAACCACGATGATACTAACGAAAGTGAAACGAATCGAGTCCACCGTTCTCCTCTCATCCTATTTTTAAAAATGGGACATTAGTTCTTATTGCAATTGGAGAGACTTTTTGAAAGTCTTCTAACGCACGACTGAAAATATATCTCGAGTTCCAAGAAACTCGGAAAATATTGGAATTTCGTGTTTACTTTTCCAGTTGGATTCGGTTGAGTTCAACTTCGAGTTCCTAAAATAATAAACTACATCATGATAAATGCCACGGGGGAACCTACACCATTGCTTCCTTAGCGTCGTTTTTTCTATTTCTATTCTTTTTTTATAGGGCGTACACGCCGATCGATCGTAAATATCCCTGTAATCCGGACAATATCGGATCACCCAGCGCAGAATTAAAATTATAACGTTTCGACGGCACTAAAAACGTATCCTTCCTTACTGATTTGATTAAAACCGGTGTATACCGTTGAAACTTCCTCGTTCCGACGCTTGTGTATTATTTCAAGATTAGACTTAATCTTATAATCTACATCCTGATCCGACACACGCTATTTAAGCGACCTACTCAACCAGCGAAATTTATTGACCGCCATTTCTCACGTTTCAATATCTTGCTGCTCGACGCCGAGCCAACGTCGATTCTTCCAACGTAAGGCTCTCTGCTCGGCGAAAATTCATTGTTTCGGAGAAAAATCTCCGCCGGATAAAAATAGAAAAATACCCGATGACCAAGAAGATGAAAAGAAAACGACAGGATCAGGATCGAGATGCATTCAGGAATATCCTTTCGGAGCTGTGCGCGACACTCGAAGACAAAGGGCTGCTGTTATGAAGCTTTCCTATTTTGTACGATACAACCTCGAATGTAGTTCCCACGGGATCCCCTGCAGAGTTCTCGGAGGCTTAAGATGTCGTATCGTTTGACGGTTGTGGCGTTCGCTACCACGGATTCGTGGCAGAGTTACACGATACGAGAAAACGGAAGATCCTCGAAGGGGCGGAATACGGCCAAGAACAACCCCACCCTTTTCTGTCAAACATTTGACACCCGCGGTGGTCAGTGGCTCGAGGATATTTGTGTCCTCCGTTTACCAGGAAAATCGTCTATCGATCCCCTATTCTCGAGAACAATGTTACTTGGCGACCTTTCAAAAATATACTCTCTCGTTACTGTTGAAAATTATATGGCAGTGCAACTCGGCGGACTCCTAGAAGAGTATAAGGGTTACTATACGAATCTTATTATTTACAGTAAATTGGATGAAATTCTATTAGTTTGCAATATATCTTCAGTTTTCTAAAGCTTCGACATTCTCTGCAAAATGTATTTTTAAATAAGAGTGGATATATCTTTTTCGAAATCCATTTTGCTCGATGATATCAACAGGAAAGTACATTTACCCACCCAATCTAAACATTTATTTATAATGTTCGTATTCGTACGAAGCATTCCAGTACTCCCAGCCCAACTTTGCACTAGAAAACAGCAATAGCCTCCAAGATTATAAATATTTGCCAGTCTCGATGTATTCCAACATCCCAGGACCGAGTCTATCTCATCCAGATCTAAATCGATCCCCAAACGAGTACCGATATCCTTCGCAAACGGAAAGGCAGAACTCTCGCGCAGGTATTCGTAAGTTTTCCCAAAGCCTCGACATTTTTCTTGGCCTTGTTTCCGGGAAGGGGACGTTGAAAGCGGAGGCTGCGTGGAGTTCGTGACACCGCTGCGCTCTCATTTGCGGAGAGGTGTCCCGTTGCAGGGGTTCTCGCATGGAAAACGACACGTCTCGACAGAAACTGAGATCTAAGACACTTTACCTATATGTAAGCAATTTGTTGACGACATACGATCGAACAGAAAAACTTTTAATCGTCATTTAATTCAATGACGAATAAACAGTTGTTTATCTTAGATTTGTTATTTTTTTTTGTTT